ACTTCCGCCTAGATGCCTTGAAGAAAGCCCTGACCCAAGTTGTCTATTTTCTCGTTCCCTTGGCAGGTGAGTAGACTTGAGATATTGACCCCTCTGTAAGCTCGGCGACAGCCACTAACAATGATTCAAAAGGGTGAGTGAGGCGCAGGACTTTACTTAGGGGTAGGCTTGAGAGCTGTCATACGGGACCTAGGCACTTGCTAACGAGCAGGCGGGACAAGAGGAGTAAGCCTTCGATTGGGATTGGCTTGTTGGCCGGCTTTCGCGAGGAGTCCTATGAATGCCGCATGTGGTAGCAAAGCAACATCTAGAAAAATACAAATCTTTTTTGGTTTTAACCCTGCGACATAGAAGGAAAAGACCCTATAAAAATTTTTTAAATCTAAAACGGATCAGCCGCCAACTCGACTTCGAAGTCAACTGAAGAAATAATCCAAAATATTATTTCCAGATATCTCAATTCATCAAAATTCAAACAAGTGTTTCAAAGAAATACTTTACTTAAGGTTCTTGGTGTTAGAATACCATGTCCAAGACCAGGAACAAGGCAAAAGCCAAAGCGTCTAGCAAGCGTGGTTACTCGCTTTAATCTATTGTATTATTTGTTAGTAAAGATTGTATTCTTTGTTAGTAAAGGGCTCCTTAACTCGTCAACTACTGAACTCATATGAATTAGCCGTTGCGTTGGTGTCCAGTCATATCAAAGAAAGCTCAGGCCATGAACTAGATCCGAATCATTGTCAAGGAGTGCATAATAAGCGATCTCATCTTTTTCATCGGGTCCGGGTCGAGACAAAAGATCTTGACGGCCTAAAGGGCCTAAGACATAAGAGCTGGGGCAGGTAAGCAAGGCATCCAGGTGACGGCTCATCGATAACAATAAAAGCTGAGGGCAAGGAGCAGCTGGCTACGGGAGCAGCAGGATTCAAACCTGCGATGGCCGAAACCACTTTCCTATGGTCGAAGCCTTGGCTATGCCCCAAAGAGGTCTTCAACTTCATGACGTGGCATTGTAAACAACCTCTTGCAAGCAACCTGGTTATGTCATACCCATATCAAAAAAAAAAAGGTGGAGTCTCATCCTGGGTCTGACGAGGTGAGCCGATAGGCGAAGAGGAGACGAAGTACAGGAAGAATAGTTCGAAAGCCACTCAACATACCTGGCCGTATGAATGAAAGCAGCCTTGAGCAGGAGCTCTTTAGTTAGGTAACAAAAGGAAAAAGCCTTGTTTGTAGCGACTCACTTCCCATTCTCTCTTAAATAAAGAAAGCTCGCCCTCGAGCCCTGGGCATATACGCTACAATATGAAAGCGGCTGGCTAAAAACACGGGGCAGGCACTTATTCCCACAAATCTTGGTCTGTCTCGTTCTTCGATGCGGGTAGGTTCCCTTTATGATAAATCATCAATTCCTAGATTTCTCATAAAGGGAACTGAAGTGACCAAAAAAAAGCCAGCAACCAAGCCTTCTTCAATAAGCATGTGTTAAGCATGTCTAAAAACTCCTCTCTCCGCAGAGTATCATCATCGAGCCTGAAGGGCAGGAATCAATTTCCCCCTCTCCCCTTCCGTGGGCTCTTTTCTTTCTAAGCAGGAAGCTGGGATTTTCTATTTTTTGGATCCTAGGCGGCGGCAAACGGCACCTTCCTTTCCCAGCCAATGGTACGTAAGGCAATGGTTGTTATTGAAGTTCAAATCAGGGGCTACTGAAGAGCTGGAAGAAATCGCCACCTTGAACCTGACCTGCCCGGAGGAACTCGAAGAGACGGAGCCGCTTTTGTGGATAAGAGATTTCTCTCTTCGTCTTGCCTCAACTTCGTTTTGATGAATGGAAGAAGGGTAACATTGGAATACCCATTATCAGGTACGAGGCTACAAGAGTACAATCCCATACGCAAACCCCGCACCACTATTTTAATATTAGCAAAATGGGTACCAAAGTTTGCCTTATTTGCATCGCC